TGGTCAGGCAGGGATTCCAGTCACTGTTGGACACTGTGGCTTTGTTTACATATTGTGTTAAGCCAGGATTTTTAACCTAGGGTTTATTGAATATGCTGTAACAGCTTGCTTCACACAGCATATTTAGCCCAGTACAAACATGGTAACACAACATGTGGATGCAGGCTATATATGCACATAGCTTCTAGCCAAACATTTAACCCTTTCAACAAAAAACTTGCATGGTAATTAGCACACATTTGTTGGCTAGGATAAACGATTAAGTCACTGATCAATGAAGCTGCATGGATGAGTCTGGGAGGCCAGAAAGCTCAAGGGCTTACATGGAAAATTTCCACTGTTTGACAAAGCAAACAGCTGACTTTCAGGGTCAGGGAACATGCTCGGACACGTCAGAAGCACGGCGGATGGGAAATGATCGGGTGAGGCAACACCAAACTTTCACTTTTTCTCAACTGAAAAGCAAAAACAAAAATAGGAAGCCATACTGATAGACACAACTTAGAGCTGACTCCATGTTTACAGCTTATTTTAGACTTGGAGGGGTTTGCCAGTCAAAAGGCAATGGGCATCTTATTGAGGTCCTTTTCCTCTTGCGCATAAAAAAGAATAGAAAACCTCAGGATTTGTTTTAAAAAAAGGATAGGAATACCCGATTACGGAAGAGGCTTGATAGTCCAAAGTATGGAAGTCAGTGTATCCTCAGCCACTGTCAAGCTTTGCCTGAATTTGGATCTGACTGGGCTTGACAAGGGAGAGTACTACCTCTCTTGAAAATTCCCGGTTACCTGGGAAGAGCGCAGCACCCCTTTTCCGAAGATGCAGTCGATGAAGCAGGCAGAGTGCTAGCTGGAGCCTAGCACCAGCCTCCTAGCCCCGATGACCGCTTACAAGTGGGAATGCATTATCAGCATACTTTGGAGGCAGGGATAGTGATAAAGCACTTTGACTTTACTGTCATGGCATCTTCCAGCTGCCATTTGGTGGGCTTTTCAGACAGTATTACTTTTTAATAAAAGGAGTAAAGTAGAAATGCAGCCTCTACAACAAAACCACATTTGTTGTTGTTGTTCAATCGTTAAGTCGTGTCCGACTCTTCGTGACCCCATGAACCATAT